AATTCTGATTACGAATCTGAAGCATTTGAGCTGGAGTTTTTGATTCTGTTGGCTGCGGCAGCGACTGCTATTTGCCTAACAGGAGTTAGGAAACGAAGGAGATTTAAAATAAGACCATTAAATCGTCAAAGAGCAGCTCATAGTGTTTTTGAGAGGCTGTTAAAATATGCCGAAACAAATGATATTGAACAGTTTTTCAAATACACAAGGATGACTCCTGCTTTATTCAATTATCTCCTGAGCCTTGTTGAGCCATACCTACAAAAGGACAAGACAAAAAACCCTAGGTATATCGCCAAAGCAACGGCTTGCTATTACATTGCAGTAAGTAGTTTTGGATATTAATCAAGTGCTCCTTCTTTCATTCTTGTTTTGTTTTAAGTTACTTAGCTGAAGGTTGCTCTATGCAAGAAATTGCTTGGAACAACTACATAGGCAAGACTACAGCCCACTGTATCATCAAACATACTTGTAAAGTATTGCGGGAAGTTTTGAAACCTTTGGTACTTCCTGAACCAACACCGATGCAGCTAAAAAAAATTGCAAGAGAAAATCTTCTGAGATGGAATCTCCCAAATTGTATAGGAGCAGTAGATGGGAAGCATGTGTTGGTTCAATGTCCAAATCATTCTGGAACCTCCTATTTTTCCTATAAAAAATCATTCAGGTAGATCAGAATTTTGTTTTTTGTATTTATGCATCATTTATAATTTTTAGGATAACTTTTTACAAAAAAAAACTTGTTTTTGTTTTAGCATGATTCTTATGGCCGCATGTGATGGATACTATAAATTTACTTATGTGGACATTGGAGCACCTGGTTCAAGTCATGATTCGGCAGTTTTCAGGGAATCAAGTTATGGAAAAGCTTTAATTAATGGCACCCTCTCTCTTCCTGAGCCTGAAGCTCTACCTGGAACTGACATCCCTTTTCCCTTCTTTTTTGCTGCAGATGCAGCATTTCCTTTGCATTCAAATATAATGAGGCCATATCCTGGGAATTTTTTGGATGAAAAAAAAAAATATTTTCAACATGAGGTTGTCAAGGGCTAGGAGAATCATTGAAAATACTTTTGGCATTTTAGCTCAGCGATGGAGGAGACTACGGAACCCTATAATAGGAAATGAGGAAACTTGTGAACTCATTATTATGGCAACCGTAGTTCTACATAATTTTTTACAAAAGGGGGAGGAAGACCTGGACCCTCAAGAAAGGAGGTATAGCCCAACTGGCTTTGTTGATTGGGAGGATGAAAAGGGAAATGTTCAACATGGAAAATGGCGGCTGGATTCGGGAGCTGATTTGAAAAGTATTGGTCGATTGGGGGCAAACAATTTCTCCAGAAAAGTACGTGCGCTAAGAGACTATCTAGCTGACTGGCTAATATCACCCTTGGAAGCCCTTCAGTACCAGCTGGATCAATTATACCAATATGGCGTACCAGATTACTTTAGTGAAAATGCAAATTAATTAACACACTAGCAATTTGACTTTCAGTATTATTTGCTTTATCAGACCTGGAGATAGGGAGTGTTTAGTGGAGTCATTTTTGTTTTGTCTGGCATTTTGAGGGCTGATTGTGGAATGTGGATAGTTAGCTGATGAGAATATAAGTGGTTTTAATGCCTGCCCTCTGTTCCAAATTTCTCCTCAATTTCAAACTGTGATAACTGTCTGGCGATTTTTCAGCTTTATTTTCACAACGAAACATTTCATTCTCATAACAAAACCTTTTATTCTCTTGATTGCTAGACAGAAAATAAATGCGGAAAGTTCTATACTTTTCTCTTGCAAGTTGACTCCCATCCCACATTTTCAGCTATTGAAAAGCATCTGTGGCATTGAAATCACTCATATTCTCATGAGCTAATTAGCCACATTCAGCTCTCAAAATGGCAGACAAAAAAAAAATACTCCACGAAACAGTCCCTATTTTAAGGTCTATATCTACAATCGTTTAGTTATTACGTTTTTACAAAGCCATTTGTCTAGTATATGCATTATGTTATGAGACTCATTACACAACTAATGTCTGCCCAGCGACTCTGTGTCTACGGGGCAACGGTAAGGGGAATGCAGTTGTAAAAAAAAATGGCTGATTTCATTCATAAAATACCCAGCTGCGTGCGGAATTTTTTGGAAGTGTTATCGTATTGCAACTCCTACACGAAAATCGAAAATGACCAAACCCCCGCCACTGGATATTTCAATATAAATCGATATTCCAAGATGGGAGGATACAATGACAGAAGCCCTGGCCAATAGCAAGACGTAAGGTGACGTTTATCCCATTGACAACGACATGGTTCCTCGTGGCAACGGCCATCCTGCCAAAAACTCCACCAATCAGGTTCATCCAGGCCGGATGCTTGCCAAATTGTCAAAAACTGATGGTATCTTTAGAAAATGTTTATTTTTTACAATGGACAAAATTGAAGAAATCAGTTATCAGAATAAGAATAGATCTAACAACCACGTTGAAATATTTAGCGTTTTATTGGTATCTATATTTTGTTATTAAAAAATGGATTTTCAAATGAACTATACTTCATGCCTAGTATTTTCGCTTTTTTATAATTAAACGTGACAACATGGCACATTTACGTCCGAATTCCTTCCGTAGACTCAGATCCGCTGGGCAAACAATAGAGGTGTTATGAATCTGTGGGTACATTCAGGCGGTGCCACCGGCTAAGCTCAGCCACTCAGCAGGGACTTTATTCTCGAAACCGAAGAACAGCTTGCTCTGTCATTGTCAGTGTAATGGAAATATGAATACAGACGACGAAGACAGAACCTTCGTTCTCATGAGAATGCTGCTCCCCTGCTTCGAGAATAAAGTCCCTGCTGAGTGGCTGAGCTTAGCCGCTGGCAATGCCTGAATGTACCCAATAACACAACTAATATTGTCTGTTTTTTTTTAAAGATAATTTCCCAAGTTAAAAATTTAGTAACTATGTTGGCAACACAAGCCTTTTCTACATAAAATATTTGAAAGCATTGACAATTTTACATTGTATTGCCATCATAATGCCATTTTGACTTTTACTTTTAAAAAAAATATAGAATTTAGCTGGGGCGAGTTCAGGAATGACACACCCAGTGTGAGTGTGACACCGGTGCGACGCCCTAGCTGTTCAAGAATGCTAAACGGTGCTATAAGGCCCAATGGCCAATTGTCAATTCAGGCACACCCATAAAATCGCACTCGCACCCTGTGCGTTATTTCTGAACTCGGCCCTATTTTGTAATTCAGTTACGAAATGGCATCTTTTTGACATTTATTTTAGTTGTCAAAAGTGGTTCATTTCAACATAAACGCCAAAATAGGCAGTGTGATCTAATACAACAGTGTTGAAATGAGATCTCATTTCATCACTGAGTGTTAAAATGGGATTTAGTGTGTTCCGTGTCAGTATTAAAATGCGTTTATATTCAATTTTAAATATTTTGAATGAATCACAAAAAATCTTGTATGAAACACGTCGCAAAATGGCTAGTTTTTTGCACACAATCCTCACATTTAGTGCAAAAAAACACGCTCATTTTTCAACTTGTTACATAAATAATAAATAGCTATATTAATTTTTGATACAAGTTCCTACTACAAATCATTCATAATGTTTGTAACCATAGTTTGGAGATGCTCCTTAAAAAAATCAAAATCAGAAAAAATATTGTATAAAACACTATTTTTCGTAACGCTTCCTTTTGCGAAACTCGCTTCGCTTGTTCTGGAAAAATCCAGTAGTGCTTTTCCCAACTGGTTACACAAATAACTATTTTCTACTGACGTTTCATATTAGCAACTTTTCGATTGTCATTTTAGTTTTAAAATGACATTCTTTTAAGCACTAAGTGCGTAAAAGTTACTTTTAGACACTCAGTGCGTGAAAGTGACTTTTGAATGCGTAAAAGTGACTTTTGAGTGCGTAAAAGTGATTTTTAAGCACTAGTGCCTAAAAGTGTCATTCATTATTCAGAAATAAAAAATACACTAAACTAAACACAGATTTGAATTTTGTTTTATATTTATTATGAATATTAAAAATTAATTATTGAATTGAACGTTTGGGTTACTCAAAACAGAACTTTGTGTTGTTACCTACTTTCTGGGATTTTAATTATTGATGTCCAATCCAAAAAATCGCATGAAAAGTGTCAGGTGTCAAGCTAAAGCAGGTAATAAAGATGTTGGGCGTAATCGGCTTATTCACATGAAATAAAATTATGTTTTTTTTATTATAAAATGCCAGTAGAAAAAATATTGTATACAATACGTCACGAAACGATGTCTTTTAGTCACTCGACGTGTTGTCCAACTCGGCTTTGCCTCGTTGGACAATTTTCTCGTCGCGTGCCTAAAAGACGCTGATTTCGTAACTTATTGTATAAATAGCTATTGTATGTGGCCTAGCCGGTTTATTATAGGTCTATTTAGGAGAACTAGGTTATTTAGGTTTGTATATTTTGTGCGTGAAATAAAATACTATCAAAAAACTCAAAATGGTGTACTTAGCTTTGCAGAAACATGTTCCTACAAAAATGCAAATGAAATTCGAAAACAGTTTGGTATTAAAGAAAAAAAAATGTTTATTGAATAAATAACTACCTATTTTACATGACATAACATAATTAAATGTAACATTCTTAAATAACTTAAATTTTAAATGTATCTAAAAAAAAAACATTTCTAAAATTTCAATAAATCAAATACAACATTCTCAAATAATAAATAATAGAACTAAACTAAAAGTACCTAATATTTTGAAGGCATTTCAAGCAGGGCCAAAAGTCTTTCATTCCTGTGTGTTTTGTACCATTTCTGCCAAAATGTCGTAACATTTTTTTTTGAAAATGATCCTTTGGCTTGGCGACAAAACCAGCATGTCTTCTGCAAGACTTTTGGCCCAGCTTGAAGGGGCCGTCTTCTCGATTCCTTCACTATAAGCCTGATGTCTCTTCTGGAAATCACCTATGGCTGAAGTGATGCTGTGGCTCATCGCTTCTTGCGCATTCCGCTTAGTACCACCCATTGCACCACCCCTGCCCTTTGTATTCTGCCTCCTAAGTGCTGCGCCATTTTTTGATTGAATAAGCTGAATGAAGTCGAAGTAGTCGGTAGTTGAGAATGTGATGTGGTAGGAGTTCCACTCTTTGAAATAGGATCTGGAGTTGGCGGGGGTGAGAAGTCCGTCTCATCAGTGACTTCAGTTACAGAATCTTCAGTCTCCGGAGCATCCACAGAAACATCTGAAAATTCAAGTTGGGACATTGTGTCCCAAATTGAAGATGGTCCTTGCAGTCCTTGCTCCGAAGACTCTAGATTAGGGATGTTCTGGGATTTCGATTTAATTTTTGATATAGTCCTAAAAGAAATAGAGCATTTCTAAAATGTTCCCTTTTTTCAAGCCCACTTAAATTGATTTGATCAAACCAACACCTTTTTTTTTTAAATAAAGATAACTTCAAAATCAACTATAATCTGAGAAAACTCTACCTTCTAGTCACCAAAAATGGGTCCAAGAACCCCATTGCCTCATAATGTGGCCAGGAAATTGAGAACCCCGCGGATCCAGAGGGGGTTTCTCTGATTTTTTTTTTGAGAGTGGTATATTTCGCCCTTAAAACAACCCACCTATTGCTGCAGTCTTCAACTAAAATAAAAAAAATGAATTGCTTGTACCTTTCAAAACTTCACTGAAACTTTACCAGAACAACCCATAATTTCGGCAATGGTTTGCCATGCCTGCTCCCTGGCCGTTTTATTTTTAAAACGGCAATCGTTTTTATTGAATAGAGCAGGAAACCCTGCAACTTGCTCAATTAATAATCCATCATCCATATTTGGCGTTTGCACTCCACAAAACACAAAAAAAGAACAATAAACTTGAAAAACCGGCTTCCCGCTTTCCAAAAATCTAAAAATCAAAAACAAAAACTTAACCTCACTTAACGTTAACGACATCAAATTTGAATTTGAAATCTGGTTGGATAGGCCATGTGCAAAACATATATTTCCATTGGTCGAAAATTATTTCTTATTTTATTTTATTTGTCTCTATAAACGCCATCGCATTTTCTATTTGTTATTTCTTATTTGTTATTTTATCTTATCTTATTTTATTTGCTGTATAAATCCAGCTTAATTGAAAAGCATCAGAAATGCTGTGTGCGGCGACAAATACAGCAGCTATTTCCGGTTTCCAAAAGATGCCGAAAAAATGAAACAATAATGACTAATAAAAGTTCGCAATCCTTTGCTAAATAGCCTCAGTGTCGACAAGGCTTATAATAATTATAGAGTGTGAACAAGACATTTTCCTCGAGAATTTATTGTTGGCGATCCAAAAGCCAGACGAGGACTCACATGGAATGCTGCGCTTTTGCTGTATCTCCCTGAAGGTAAGTTAATACTACTAGATATATGTGAGAAAGACGTACTTACATTTTCACTTACTCCTCCCCATAGTTCTGATTAACGACAACGTGTTAGACTTCGGGTTTAAAGGAGCGTAGGTCAGAAAGATTAAAATTAATTTTAATTTTAGCCCCAATTATCAAAAACAGTGAGGAGTCGTTAATTGATGAAACACAATCACCAAAATGGCAAAAAATGGAGATCGACACAGTTGAAACTCGTAAGAGTTTTAAGACGTCTTCAGAAATTAGTTTCGCAACTATGATTGACATAGGTAGGTAAACATAATAAGTCTATTTCAACACGTCAAAAAATCGTCCCATGAACGGTTTCGAAACCACTCAGTATACCAATTTTAGTTTCTGCGCAGAATCGTGACGGTACATTGTACGGTTTTCTGCTGTGTTGGAACAAAGCTAAAGCTAATATTATTCATTTCTTTTTTTTATGTTTATTCCTTTATCAGGAGACACAATAATTAAAATATTCCTGGTTACATACAAATACACCATATTCTACAATGCGTGTATCCAAACTTTTTTGGTAGAATCATTGTTAACGAAATTTCTGTTTTAGATCAACCAGGCCCTTCACGTCAATTTTTATCTACTGAAACTTCTGCAATTCGGGCAGACATTGTGACATCAAGCGGAACCATCACATTTGCAAACATGAAAAAGTCACCAACTTTGTCTCTTAAAACTTTTATTGGTAAGTGTTATTGCTTAATGAATAACCACCCAGTTGGGAGTAGGTATTTGAATTTTAAAACATCATAACTCAAGTAGGACTACTACTATAAAAGACTACTAATTACTTAAACTTGCAGTCGAATGCTAAAAAAATTAGAAGCTAAATGTGCGAAATACTCGTCTCCAATCTTGATCTATTCATGAGAGACGATGCCAAATTTTAAAGAACATTAACTTCACTAGGCAAAAATTCCTATCCCCAAGGGAAAAATATCTTTATTCCAAAGTTATAGAATCCAGCAATAAGTTAAGAAGAATCAGTAGAAGGTTGTCGTCATTTAAATCCAAAGTTTCTGCTGCTGAATAACTTACACCATCAACCAAATTTCAAAGGCTCGTAGACCATGTCAATCCATTGATATACAGCTTTATTTTAAGTGAGTCCGTACTCAAAACCAAAAGCCTAAAGCAAGTCGATTTACATTGGACGAGAAGTTGTTGGCGTTGTCTTTGCTTGAATCTAGTGGTAAAGGTTATAGACTATTATCAAAAATATTTACTCTATCATCCAGGCGAAATCAGTTTCTTGAATGAGCTTTATATTATGTATAACTACATAAACTTTCAACTTTCTACCTAACACATGCGGAAAGTGTATTTCCTGGACTCAAAGGCTTGCCCGAACTCTGCTTTTTGTTGTCATTCGTGCAACTTCCATCACGTGCGGAAAAATAGGTATCACTTTCCTCACTTGTTAGGTTAACAACGATTTTGGATTGTAAGAAAAGGACCTCTTTTGTCATTTCATTTACGATTTAAGTTTTTCATCAAGCTATTGTTAAATGTACGTCATTACTTCTTGTAACTGTCCTTATTATCTTTAACTTAACTAGCATTACCTATGTATGTATACCTACATGAAAAAAATCTGTTTTGCAATAATATTAATTAATTCCATATTCTATTATATTATTTTCTGTTTCAAATTTTAATAAATATCTAAATTTGTCATCTTAATTCTTAGTCAATTTTACCTTGAAGGCGCTTCAACGCTACCGATTTTATGAGTTTCTTCTTTTTGGCACATTATTATTTTATGCCAAAAAATAGTAGAAACTTTAAAGTGGTGGTGTTGAATCGCTAGAATCAAACGATGGTGCAAACGATCAAACGGAACGAATAAGATACCGAGCGAACCCTAATGGCGTTTCGCATTCACCAATAAATCCAGAATTACAAAAGCTGACCCCTCCAGTCACTAGAGGCGCTGAAAACTTATAGACAGGTTCTCAACATGGCACTTACCTTTCTAAGGGGGGATGATTTGTGGTTAGCAGCTAGGTAACTATGGTAAAGTTAAATCAGATTGTGTATACCGTAAATCAGGCCCTGCGATCTCTTATTGCCAGTAATAAACCACATAATAACTCTTTTCCGTTTTTCTAGATGTCGCTTACAACAACAGAATTGTAAAATACCAGCACATCAAGAACACGTCCGATGTCGATAACATTTACATGAGATTGACATGTCAACATATGACAATATGCCAAAATATAGGGCATTCCAACGATCTGTCAAAAATGGCGTCTGTCAAAAGTTAGCCAGGGCATACAAATGATAAAGTGCGCAAAAATATTGGTAAAATGCCTGCATTTTGTTGTGTAGTGAAATGTAGTTGTAGGAGAGAACGCGACAACGTTAAATTTTAAAAAATACCATCGGAACTGAATCGAAAACATCCTCACAAAAGTTAAAATAAACAAATTAGAAGACAACGCTGGTGAAATGCAATTAAACGTGAAGATTTAACTGGCAGTAAATTGAATGTATTTCAGTAAGGTATCAATAATTTAGAGCAACTGAACAACTATTATTATTAAAGAATGTATATTAAAATGACGCGTGTTCGATATTGTGAGACAATCGAATTGTGTGCCCTGACTGTTTTTTTTTTGTTGGTTAGCTAGTAGTTAGAACCAAGTAGCTACCGATGTCCATATTTGTGACTGGAGGGAAGTCTTCAGGTTTTGAACTCAGAGCAGAATTAGCCAAACCAAACGGATCAACACTGTTTATGGCCGCAATTTTTGTTTCTAACGCACAGCTTCATCAGGTTTTTCGCGTTCCAATTTTATCAGGTGGTCAGCCATAAGTACTTTAGATTACGTTAAACCACAAAAAAATTAACTTATTTGGGTTTTATAAAATAGTTTTTCTACTACCGTGCGTAAAGTAGTCACTTCACGCACTATTCGGAAGACGTAAAATTTCACTTCACGCACTAGTGCGTAAAGTAATTCACTTCACACACTGGTGCGTAAAGTAATGTCAATGACAGACGTCGACACTGTCAATATGGTTTTTTTCTGGTAAATTACTTCACGCCCTAGTGCGTAAAGTGAAAATTCTTTACGCATTAGTGCGTAAAGCATTTGTTTAAATTTATTTTTTCAAACATATTTGATTGGTAGTAGAAAAAATTTTGTATGCATGCGTAAAGCACCTTTTTTCACTCATGTGATTGTCAAAATTCACATTCAAGGTTCACTTTACACACTTGTTGCATAAATAACTATTTTAGATTATGTGACACATGTGACACTTGTGAGACACAATCGAATTGTGTGCCCTGTTTGTTTATTTTTTGTTGGAATGCCCTATTCATTTGATCATAACTAATAATTCATAATGTTTTTCGTTCGCCGGTCTTGCATTTCGTCTTTCTTTGTGTTGTCAAGTGTTTCTAAGTGATTTCAAAGTGGTTTTGTGTGTTTCACGAAGACCTTCAAACTTTATAGATTGGAAGATCTATTTTTATCTTTGTTGATTAGATTAATGACAGGTTCAATTAAACATTAGAACTTTGAATAAATATGTTAAGGATATCCTTAACCATCGATAAAGGAACTATCTTTTGATCTAATTAACAAAACATCAATTAATTTAAGCAAACATTAATGTCCCAAGGTCTAGAATAAACAAATTTGAACAGACCGACTGTAATGCGAACAGGGCGCCATCTATCATAAAAATGCCTTGAAGCCCTATGTAAAGTAATGGCGCTTCCGATTGGTAGATCTAGTGCAGAACTAGTGCAATTTTTTCTATTGATGTCTTTTTCTTCTACAGGGGCCCAATTCTCCATTTACGACTAAAAATCTCGCAATCGACAAATCACGCATCTGAATGTCGAACGCGAATCCTAAACTCTATTCTCGGTCGGTATGCGAATTTAAATGACGCATTCGACAATTTTCGAATGTTTAAACATGGCAACATCTAATTTTATAGTATTTGGCACGTTTTTGACAACTGTAAAGTGTCACATTTTTTGATCTTTCAAAATAAAAGTGGATTTTTTCTTGAAAAAATATAAGTTGTAGGTCCTATTTTGTGCGATAAAGATTACGATTCGTGGTAAAGAAGTGGAAAATAGAAGAATATATGAAGGTCTTTAAAAAGGGAACATGCTTACATTAGTTTTATTCCTTTCTAGGAGGAGCTCCGGAAGAGCTCCAGGGCGTTACGCGCTTATTCCTTTCGAAAAGTGTTTGTTGCACCACGCATCTGTTCCTCCCAAATCGGGGCAAACTAACAACGGAGCGAGTAGCTTGGGTGTGTGTTCCAAACTCTTGAAAGGAATACAACAATTGGCTTCAATAGAAATTAAAGAAGCTTTAGTACTATCCTTTATATAGGGTCGCACCAACTCAATTAAGCCCCATGTTA